AAAATTCAAGACAATTATGAGGTTTTCTGAAGAACTTAGAGACAATCTATGGAGTTTTTGAAAATTACAAAACATTTACAATATCTCTCAAATATTCGAGGATTGTTGAATAAATAATGGGAAAACAATTGATAGGAAAGGGCGGCATTTTGCAAATAAAACTGATTTGAAGCAGTCATGAAAGCCCGAATACTGCACTCTGATTCATTGAAATGCGAAAGGAGGAAATAATTTGGTAATTCTTCAGATTTTCTCCACAATTCCACAAAAATTTTCAAGTTTCTTGAAAAAAATTAATATAAATTTCGAAAGATTATAGAAAATTTGAAAAAATTTTAGATGATTAGATGATGAAAGTTTGAAGTTTATGACATCGTCGAATAAAATTGTGAAAAAATCATGAATGAAGCGAAAACACTTCGAATTAGCGAAAGAAGATCAGAATTGACCCCATAATTTTTCTAGAAAAATAATTGAATACTTTTGTCAAGTAGTAAACGGAAATGAAGAGGGAGGCGAAGACAAAAAAATTATGGCCTGTGAGAAATTTGATAATTGTTGTTTTGCACTCTGAATATAATTTTGATTACAATAGTAATTAAAATTTCATTCAATGAGGACGGAAACTCAGAATTAGTGGATCACTTATTATAATATTGAAATTGAACAAGCAATGAACCGAGACGCATTGTTTTCATTAACTTTGACACTCAATAGACTAAAACGACGATAAATCATTAATTTTCGAAAGAAACAAAAAAAGCAAAGGCATAATAAATGGGCATCAACGTCGCGGCCGCTTGCGGCCGCGGCGGCGCTAGTATGTTATAAAGTTACGTAGAGAATAATTAGAGTTGAGTATTTTTTCGCGTTTGAATTCCCCGAAATCGAAGCCCACGCTTGATGTGGCAAAGTCTCCGCCAATCAGAGCCCGCCTCTGTTGGCCGGAATTCGCGCTGCGGTTAGTGCTTGTGACACTGACCCAGGGCAGTTAATTCCGCGTTGGCCGGCTTAGTAATTAGTCGTGCCCAAGTGAGTCTCCCGCAAGGGCTTAGCGTTTGGTTCGTGATGGTCATTCCTTGGATTATTCGTGCCCTTGGATTACAGTGTTCAGGATTAAAATGACCGGGATTATAGTGTCGTGAGTTTTTACGGGGATTTTTATTGTTTTCCGAGCCATTAAGTAATGGCGTCGGTTTTCCCACCTCTCGGTAGTGTCCCGCGTGTAAACTTTGGGTCTCACGTGGAGAATTTCTCCCGATTACTCCGTAATCGTGGACGTAGAATTTTGTTTGGATTTGAGATGTCGACATCCCCGGAATTATTATTCCGTGGTGAGAGTAATTGTTATAGTGTAAAATAGTATTTTTCGTTGTTTTTCTGCGTCGGAAGGTTTCCGTTGAGTGGCTCAAGCATTCTCCATGAATGCTTTCCCCCTCACGGCACCCCACTAACATCTATCCGTGCCTACAAGCTACGGGCCTCGCTTTCCGCAAGTGTTCCCCCGTTAAGATTTCCCTCCGGGTGTAAATCCAATCCGAAGTGGCTCCCAATGATTCAAAAATCATCTCTAACGTGACATTTTTGCATGGGGATTAAAAATGTCCATTACCTTCACCCTTCTTCCCCTGAATCTAGTTAAACTCAAAAAAGCAAAAATCTATGAGCG